ACATTGATTTTGTATCCTGAAACTTTGCTGAAGTTGCTTACCAGCTTAAGGAGATTTTGGGCTGAGGTGATGGGGTCTTCTAAGTATACAATCATGTCATCTGCAAATAGAGACAATTTGACTTCCTTCTTTCCTAATCGAATATCCTTTCTTTTTCTTGCCTGATTGCTCTGGCTAAACCAATACTATATTGCAGGCATCCCCAAACTATGGCCCACGGGCTGCATGCGGCCCCCTGAGGCCATTTATCCGCCCCCCCCTCCACCGCCGCACTTCAGGATGGGGCACCTTTTTCATTGGTGGTCAGTGAGAGGAGCACAGTATGTGGCAGCCCTCCAACAGTCTGAGGGATAGTGAACTGGCCCCTTGTGTAAAAAGTTTGGGGACGCCTGCTATATTGCGTAAGAGGAGAGAGAGAGAGGGCATCCTTGTCTAGTGCTAGATTTCAAAGGGAATGCTTCCAGTTTTTGCCCTTTCAGTATTATATTGGCAGTGGGTTAGTTGTAAATGGCTTTTGTTATTTTGTGGTAGGTTCTATCGATACCTAGTTTATTCAGAGTTTTTAGTATAAAGGACTATTGAATTTTGTTGAAGCCTTCTCTGCATCTGTTGAGATAATTATGTAGTTTTTGTCTTTGGTTCTATTTATGTGGTGGATTATGTTTATGGACTTGCATATGTTGAACCAGCCTTGCATCCCTGGGATGAAGCCTACTTGATCATGATAGATAAGCTTTTTGATGTGCTCTTGCAATTGGTTTGCAGTATTTTATTGAGGATTTTTGCATCTATGTTTATCATGGATATTGGCCTGAAGTTTTCTTCTGTTGTTGAGTTTCTGCTGGGTTTTGGTATCAGGATGATATTGGTCTCATAAAATGAGTTGGGGAGGATTCCCTCTTTTTGGATTGTTTGGACTAGTTTCAGAATAATTGGTACTAGCTCCTCTTTGTACGTCTGGCAGAATTCGGCTGTGTACCCATCTTGACCTGGACTTTTTTTGGTTGGTAGGCTATTAATTGCTGCCTCAACTTTAGCCCTTGTTACTGGTCTATTCAGGGTTTCGACTTCTTCCTGGTTTAGGCTTGGGAGGGTGCAAGTGTCCAGGAATTTATTCATTTCTTCCCAGTTTACTGGTTTATGTGCATAGAGTTGTTTGTAGTAATCTCCAAAGGTAGTTTGTATTTCTGTGGAATCGGTGGTGATATCCCCGTTACCGTTTTTTATTACATCTATTTGATTCTTCTCTCTTTTCTTTTTTATTAATCTGGCCAGCAGTCTGTCAATTTTGTTGATCTTTTTTAAAAACCAGCTCCTGGATTTATTGATTTTTTGAAGAGTTTTTTGTGTCTCTATCTCCTTCAGTTCTGCTCTGATCTTAGTTATTTCTTTTCTTCTGCTTGCTTTTGAGTTTTTCTGATCTTGCTACTCTTGCTCTTTCAGTTTTGATGATAGGGTTCAATTTTAGATCTTTCCTAATTTCTCATGTGGGCATTTATTGTTATAAATTTCCCTCTAGCTACTGCTTTAAATGTATCCCAGATATTCTGGTATGTTGTGTCCTTGTTCTTGTTGGTTTCAAAGAACATCTTAATTGCTGCCTTCATTTCATTGTTTATCTAGTCAACATTCAAGAGACAGTGTTCAGCTTCCATGAAGTTGTGCAGTTTTGAGTTATTTTCTTATTCCTGAGATCTAATTTGATCTCCCTGTGGTCTGAGAGACTGTTAGTTATGATTTTTGTTTTTTTGCATTTGCTGAGTAGTGATTTACTTCCAATTTTGTGGTCAGTTTTAGAATGAGTGTGATGTGGTGCTGAGAAGAATGTATATTCTGTGGATTTGGGGTTCAGAGTTCTGTAGGTGTCTATTAGGTCCACTTGTTCCAGTTCTGTGTTCAAATCCTGTATATCCTTGTTAATTTTCTTTCTCATTGATCTGTCCAATGTTGACAGTGGAGTGTTAAAATCTCCAACTATTATTGTGAGGGAGGCTAAGTCTCTTTTTAGATCCTTAAGAACTTGCTTTATGTATTGGGTGCTCCTGTATTGGGCACACACACACACACACACACACACACACATATATATATATATGTATACATATATATATATATATGATAGTTATATATATATATGATAGTTAGCTCTTCTTGTGGTATTGATCCTTTCACCATTATGTAGTGTCCTTCTTTGTCTCTTCTGATTTTTGTTGGTTTAAAGTCGATTTTATCAGAGAATAAAATTGCAATCCCTACTTTTTTTTGCTCTCCATTTGCTTGGTAGATCTTCCATCCCTTTATTTTGAGTCTGTGTGTGTCTTTGCGTGTGAGATGGGTCTACTGAATCCAGCACACTGATGGGTTTTGACTTTTTACCCAGTTTGCCAGTCTGTGTCTTCTGATTGTGGCATTTAGGCCATTTACATTTAACATTAATATTGTTATGTGTGAATTTGATCCTGCCATTTTGTTACTGGTTGTTTGTTTTGCCCATTGGTGGACACATTTTCCTCATTGCATTGTTGGTCTTTACCATTTGGTTCATTTTTGTAGTGGTTGGTACTTGATGTTGTTTCCTGTGTTTAGTGCTTCCTTCAGGAGCTCTTGTAGGGCAGGTCTGCTGGTGATGAACTCTCTCAATAATTGCTTTTCTGTAAACGATTTTATTTTTCCTTCACTTACGAAGCTTAGTTTGGCTGGATATGAGATTCTCGGTTGCAAGTTCTTTTCTTTAAGGGTGTTGAATATTGGTCCCCACTCTCTTCTGGCTTACAGGGTTTCTGCTGAGAGATCCGCTGTGAGTCTGATGGGCTTTCCTTCACGGGTGACCCAAGCTTTCCCTCTGGCTGCCCTTAGTATTTTTTCCTTCATTTCAACCCTGGTGAATCTGATGATTATGTGCCTTGGGGTTGCTCTTCTTGAAGAGTATCTCTGTGGCGTTCTTTGTATTTTCTGTATTTCAATGTTGGCCTGCTTCACTAGGTTGGGGAAGTTCTCCTGGGTAATATTTTTAAGAGTGTTTTCCAGGTTGGATTCATTTTCCCCTTCCTCTTCAGGTATACCGATCAAGTGTAGATTAGGTCTTTTCACATAATCCCATATTTCTTGAAGACTTTCTTCATTTCTTTTCACTCTTTTTTCTTTTCTTGCCTTCTCTTTTTATTTCATTGAGTTGATCTTCAATCTCTGATATCCTTTCTTCTGCTTGATTCATTCTGCTATTGAAACTTATGTATGCTTCAAGAAGTTCTGGTGCTGTGTTTTTCAGCTCCATCAAGTCGTTTATGTTCTTCTCTAGGCTGGTTATTTTAGTTAGGGTTTCATCTAATCTTTTTCCAGAGTTCTTAGTTTCTTTGCATTGGGTCAAAACATGTTCTTTTAGCTCAGAGAAATTTGTTGTCACCCATCTTCTGAAGCCTGCTTCTGTCAGCTTGTCAAAATCGTTTTCTGACCTGTTTTGTTGCCATGGTGGTGAGTCGTTGTGATCTCTCTGGGGAGGAGAGGCATTCTGGACTTTGATGTTTTCATCCTTTTTGTGCTGCTTTCTTCCCATCTTTTCTGAGTGGACATCCTTTCTGTTAAAGGTGGTGTTTTTTCTCCTGTATGAGGCCCTTTTTTTAAAACGGAGGTGTCATTGTGCCACTTGAGACAATCTGTCCCTTACCTGCCTGTGGAGGTGCTGCTGGGCTGCCTTGGTCTCAGCCAGGCTACTGTTTATTCTTTGCCTGGTTTCTGTACTGGTGAGATTAGCCCCATCTCCCAATGACAGGCTCTTTCCCTCTGCCAAACCCTCTGTTCCTGGGTGGAGAATGTGTTAACTGTGAAACTCTCCTGGGAGGACTCCAGTTGCTGGGTCTTGTCGGAGAGGGGCTGTCTGATCGTATCCCCCTCCCCACTTTCAACTCTCCCTTCTGTGGGATGGGCAGTTCCTTTTTGCAAGCTTTCTTGGTATTAGGCCAAATCTCTGCCCTGGTCTGTGCTAACAAGTCACCAGTCTGGCCGGGGCTGCCGGCCTGGGCTGTCACCCTGGTCTGTGACTCTGCATGGTTCTCAGCAAGGCAGCGTTTTCCTGGTCTGTGTGCTTCTGAAGTCATGAAGTGAATTGCTGTATTTGATTCAGAAAACTCAGGAGGTGATGCCCTCAGATCCTCCATGCCTGATACACTTTACAGGTGGGGCAGTGCCCTGCCTTGCCTCGCCTCAGCTGGATGCTTCTGGGCTGCTTTCACTGCCCTTTTTTTGGAGTTAATCCTACTGTTCAACCAGTCCCTTTAAAACAAAACTGGTACCTCACTTGGAGATGTGGATATAGCTCTGGTTCTGTCTCATTCAGTGGTAGCTGCAATTTGGAGAAGCTTCCTTTCACCTATCTTCCCCCCGTTTTTTTCAGTAGATTTATTTGTAGCCCAAATGACTTGGAAGTTATATGTAAAAAAAGGTGATGTCATTTCATATACACATCAGCTTGTTGATATCTGAGCACATATGAATTGGGAACCAAGTTTTACTTTGACTTGTCTTGCTTTGCCTTTTCTATATGCTAAATAATGAAAGAAGAGAGATAAACTGGAGCCCTAAGTGTATCTAAAGTTAAACTCATTCCAAATTAAAAAAAAATTATTCAGTTATTTTCTAAAAATTCTTATGACAAAGCAAATGGCCCTAGCCAGTTCTGTTGATGATGGGAAGCAAGCAAAGAAAAGAGAAGAAAACAGATATAAAAGGATTTTTCATATCAGTCAGGAAAGGTTAATCCTTCCTATTTCTGTCTCTCAATATCCTTCTAGTAGTTGTGCCAAAAATAACAAGATGATGAGCCATGCCCAGCAATGATCCCAGTGAGATCTTAGAAAATAAGATGTCTTGGGTGATGGACTCCAGTAGGAAGAGTCAGAGACAGTCCCACTGGACTCAAGGCTGCCTCTTCCTAGTAGCTCTGACTGCTACTCATACCATGGTCACTGCTACCCTCCTTTGGGAAAATATTTTGTTAATTTTCAATTTGTTTTGCTGATTACTAAAGGAATGCCCCAAAAGATTAAAAAAGGATATGAATTGATAATTAGCTAATTAATGAGAAAAATATAAGTGGCTACAGAATTTTTGAAAAGCCTCTCCTCAGGTCTGGTTTCACACTAGTAAGAACAGATACTACACTTGATCCTAGCCCAAAGTCTGAGAAGCAGTTAGGTTCTAGGTTTAAAATGACTGGATAACATTAGATATTTTTCTCATCACCTAGGAAACACCCAAATGTGACAGAGGTACAAGACTCAGACATACTAACTCCATTTTTGATTAAACTAATAGACTTTTGAAACTCAGAACCACAAAATAGAAGGCAAGGCTGCCCAAAGTTGTAATAGGCAACAGGGAAGGAGGAAAGAAGCGGAACATGCATGCAGCTGCAGATCTCAGAGAAAGCTGGCAGAGCACAATTCTCCTTCCACTGGCACAGCCTGAGAAGAACAACTCATTTGATACAGTGGGAATGGAGTGCATATGTTGGTTCACTGTGCCTTCCTGGATTTTTTTTTGGTAGAAAATATAAAAAATATGATGGTTTGACAAAAAAGGGATTTATAAAGAAAAGTCATTTTGGAGGAAGCAGTTTGTGAGACAATGAGAAAAGAACTTACTGCATTGTGGGTAATTGTGCAGGGCAGTTCTCAGTTCACTGACAGAACTAATGACTGAAAATATTCACATATCATGTGTCATTAAAGAAAAATAATTTTTTACGTAATGGAACCACAGCCACATGCCTATATAAGCCTGAATTAAATAGCCCACTAAGAATTTACCTCATTTATATGTGAGTAATTGTCAAAGTGAAGCTATCATAGGACATCAGAATTTTTCAGATGTGGGAATGGGGGTGAGAAAGAAATAAGAAAAAAACAGACAGTTCACCAAATAAGTTATAGAGACAAAAAATAGCAAATATAGAAAGATGTTCAACATCATGTGCCATTAGGTATGCAATGTGAAACAACAATGAAGGATTATTATACATAGGATCACCAAAATTCAAAATGCTTACTACATCAAATGCTGGTGAAGATGTGGAGAACTGGGAATCTCACTCACTGCTAGTGAACATGCAAAATGCCACAGACACTTTGGAAGGCAGTTTGACGGTTTCCTACAAAACTGAAAAGTGTTACCATATGATCCAGCAATTGTCATCCTTGATATTTACCCAAATGAGATAAAAATTTATGTTCATAAGAAAATTTGTTCATAGAAGTTCATAGAAGTTCTATTCGTGATTGCTAAAACCTGGAAGCAACCAAGATATTCTTCAGTAGGTGAATGGATAAATAAACTGTGGTATATCCAGGCAATGAAATACTATTCAGCACTAAAAAGAAATAAGGAGTGACATCAGTAAGATGGTGGATTATGAAGATATAGGCTCTTTTTTTTTTCCCCACAGAGAAACTGAGTTAACAAAAATATGTGGACCAGAACATTTCTGTTAGAACTATAGAGACCAGTTGAGACACTACAATACCTAGCCATTGTAAAACCAAGACAGGATTCCAGTGAAAAGAATAGAAAAATCTTCAGCATTTGTGCCCCTTCCCCTATGCAGCATAGTAGAGAGCTATTGGGAGGAAACTTCTCATCCCAGGATTCCTTCCTCAGGACACATATAAAAGAGTGGATCATGCATCCAACTTTCTGACTTATCCGGGGGCTGCTTGAGGGACTAGTTGCTGTCTTGCCTAATCCAGAGCATTGAAAGGATCAGTGCCAGAGTTTGAAAGTAGATGAAAAGAGATGAGCCCATATTAGAGTTGTAGTTCCACAGTCATCAGAAGGAGCAAAAGATCAGAAAAGGTTTGAGAAGTCCTTGAACTTCCAGCAGGGTCAGTTGGTTAATGTCTTCTCCTTTACAAAGCCAGCATACAAAAAAAATCTGAGTGGTGGTTGTTTTTCTAAATGCCCAAGTCCCTGCAAATAAAATTATAAGGTGTATCAAACACAGATGTTTGCATTTCCTCCAGAAGTTGTATGTTAAAATTTAGTCTTCAATGTGGTGGTATTTCGAGATGGGATCACTGAGAGGTGATTAGGTCATAAAGATGAAACCATCGTGAGTGGGATTAGTACCCTTATAAGAAGAAGCCAGAGAACTAATTTGCCTTGTGCTGGTCATGTGAGGTTATATGGCTGTCTGCAACTTTGAAGAAGGAGCTTGCCAGAGTCTGATCATGCTGTTATCATGATATTGAACTTCCAGCCTCCAGAACTGTGAGAAATATGTTTTATGTTCTCGATAAGTAACCCAGTTTATGATATTTTGTTATAGGAGCATGAAATAAAACACAAGATATATAAGAAAGCCAAAACCATGGCCCACTCAGTGGTAAAACATAAAACTCAAGAAACCAACCTTAAAAACTATAAATCTATCAAATGCTTGATAAAGAATTTAAAATAACTATCATAAAAAATACTCAGTGGGCTAAAAGGGAACCCAGTCAGAAAACCTAAGCAAAATCAGGAAAACAATGCCTGAACAAAATGAGAGCATCAAAAGAGTTAGAAATTACAAAGAACCAAATAGAAATTATTTGACTGAAAAAGACAATAACTAAAGTAAAAATTTTATTAGAGTGGTTCAACAGCAGACTTGATAAGGCAGACAAAAATATCAGTGAAAATGTAAAGAGATCATTTGAAACCATTGAGTCAGAGGAGCAAAAAGAAAAAAGAATGGAGAAAAATGAAGCTAGCTTAAGAAACGGTTGGGACACTATTAAGAGTATCAACATATCCCAGCATTATGGGAAACACTGAAGGAGAAGAAAGAAAGAAGATAGCCTATTTCAAACAAATAATGTTTGGAAACTTTTCATACCTGAGGAAGGAAATGGACACACAGACTCAAGATGCTTAAAACCTACAACTAGGATAAATCCAAAGAGAACCACACTGAGACACAGTATAAGCAAACTATGCAAAATCAAAGGCAAAGAGAAAATCTTGATTTTGAAAAGCAGAAAGAGAAAAGTGATTCTTCTCATGTAAAGGGGTTTCCATTTGCTTATCAGTGGATTCTTTAGCAGAAACTTTGTAGACTGGAGGAGAACGGGGTGATATATTCAAAGTGTTGAAAGAAAAAAAAAAACCTGTCAACCAAAGGTATTGTATTTTAAAGTCTTTAAAAAACAAAACTGTCTTTTAAAGTGAAAAACAATACTTTCTCAGATAAATAAAATGTGAGAGTTCTTTACTCCTAGATCTGCTCTACAGAAAATGCTAAATAGAATCCTTCAAGTTCAAATGAAAGGATAGTAGATATCTGCATGAAGCCATACAAACATAGAAGGTTCTCTGACAAGGATAAATACATGGAACAATATGGCAGTCTGAACTATTGTGATTTTTGGTACACAGAATTTAAATAATAAAAATACAAAAAACCCTATAAATCCTTGTTGATTGGTGTATAATATATAAAGATGTAATTTGTGACATCGATAACGTAAAATGGGAGATTGGAAAAAAGTAGAATTTTAATATGTAGTTGAAGTTGTTATTGGTTTAAAATAGAATGCTATAACTTTAAGATATTTTGTATAATTTCAGTGATAGTCAAAAAGAAAGTATAGAGTATACACAAATAGAAATAGAAAGGGAATCAAATGATATCGTTAAAAAAATCAACAAAACCCAAAGAAGAGAGAAAAGAAGGGACAAGAAAGCTACAAGATATAAAGAAAACAATAAACAAAATGGCAATAAATAATCCTTCCTTATGGGTAATTACTTTAAATGTAAATAGATGAAATTTCCCAATCAAAAGACTTAGATGGGTTGAATGATTTTTTTTAAAAACTATATACTGTCAAAAAGAGACCCAGTTTAGATCTGAGGACACACATAGGTTGAAAGTATAAGAATGAAGAAAGATGTGCTAAGCAGATGACAACCGAAAGAAAGCAGGAATGACTATGCTAACCCAGACAAAATAGGTTATAAATAAAAACCTGGTGCAGGAGACAAAGAAGGACACTGTATAATAATTAAAAAGGTCAATTTACCAAGAAAATATAATAGGTATAAATATGCACCAAACCTCAAAGCTCTGAAATGTATGAATCAAGCTTTGACAGAATGGAAGGGAGAAATGGACTGCAGCACAATACTAAGAGATTTCAGTACTCCACTTTCAGTAGTGGCTACAACAATCAGAATGAAGATTAACAAGGAAATTAAGGACTTGAAAAAGTCTGCAGACTGACTAAACCTCATAGACAGAACAGTCCACCCAGCAGTAGAAGAATATACATTTCTCTTACATGCACATGGAACATTCCATCAAGTTATGAAAAGACATGGAAGAATCTTAAATGCATATTAGTAAGTGTAATAAGCCAGTCTGAAAAGTCTATATACTATACAACTTCAACTATATGACATTCTAAAAAAGGTAAAACTATAGAGACAGTAAAAATATTAGTGGTTGCCAGTGGTTAGGTGGGAGTGATGAATAGGCAAAGCACAGAGAAATTTTAGGACACTGAAACTATTCTGCATAAGACTATAATATGATACAAACACAGTGCACGTGTCATTAGGTTTGTCAAAACCCACCTAATGTAAAACACCAAGAGTGTGCTCATGGAATGTATAATACCAATAATGTAAATTATGGACTTTGGGTAATAATCATGTGCCAGTGTTGGTACATCAGTTGTAAAAAATGTACCATGGCAACATGGAATGTTGATGGTGGAAGAGGCCATGTTTATGTCGGGGCAGGGAAATATGAGAATCCTGTACTTATGCTCAGTTTCTCTCTGAATCTAAAACTGCTCTAAAAATTAAAGTATCAAAAAATAATATATTTCTATATAATAGCACAAAAGGATGTCCAAGGTATTTTGGTTAATATAAAATAAATTGCAGCGCAATATGATCAGTATTCAATTTTTGTAAAATTATTATATAAATGTATATCTATGTATATGTGTGTGTGTATGTGTGTACATATATATATATACACATACACATAAATAATCTGGAATTATAAACTGTAATCTTTAGCTAGTAAGCAGAGATCAGGGGAATGAGTGGGGAGAGGTTTTTTTATTTTATACATTTCTATGCTTTTTGAAGTTTATAGAATATTTATTAGTGTTACAATTATAAATGCATATCTGGAAAAATTG